TTACAGGCATGAGTGTCTCTCTTGGCTTCCAGCTACAGATTTAAATGGACAGGTCCATCAGTCCTTTTATGGTTATTGTGATCATTGACATTTTCAGTGTTTTTGTTTGTTTGTTTGTTTTTATTTTTCATCTCACCTTTTTTTTCATTTTGAGCAAATCATGTTTACTTTGTTATTATGGTGCTATGTGGTAGTATCTAGTCCCGTTATTATTTTATTAACTTTCCCTATTGATTTTCTTTTCTTCACTACTAAACTACCAATTTGGAAATGTTATGCTTTAGTTTTGTTTAGTTAGCCCCATTTAAAACTTTATTATGCAAGCCAGGTGGTGATGGCACATGCCTTTAATTCCAACACTCAGGATGTAGAGGCAGGCAGATCTCTCTGAGTTTAAGGGCAGCCTGATCTATAGCACAAGTGCCAGGACAGCCAAGGCTACACAGAGAGACCCGTCCCGAAAAAAATAAAAGATCACTTATGTATTAATTTATTTTCTCGTGGCTCTGACTCAATATCTGATAAAAAAGTCCATTAAAGGAAGGGTTTACTTTTGCTCAGAGGTTGAGGATATACTCCATGATGGCTAGGAATGTCTGGTAGCATGAGCCAATGCAGCTATAGCCAGGAAGCAGAGATGAATGTTGGTGTTCATCTTTCTTTTCTCCCTTTATCCTCTTCTCATATTTTGTGTGTGTGCACGCTGTGCGCGCGTGCGTGAACATGTGTGTAAGTGCACAATGAAGTCCAGAAGAGGACATCACATTTTTTTGGAGCTGGAGTGGCAAGTGTTTGTACAATGTGTGCCTTATTACATAGGTGTTAGGATCCAAACTCCAGTCCTTATGGTTGTATAACTTCTCTTAAACCATTGAGCCATCTCTTTAGTTCACTTCCTTTTTAAAATTCAGTCTAGTGCCCCAGCCTATAAAATGATATTGACAACATCTAGGGTAGATCTTGCTACCTAATTAACCATCTATAAACTCCCTTACAGATACACCTAGAGATTATGGTTCCTATCATGTTTTGACAGTCAGTATAAACCCATCACGATTTCCACATTACAACATGTAAATTAAAAACACTATCCTGATGTATGTTTTTCTTTTTTGTCTCATTTTGTTTTTTGTGGCACTTGCAATTGAACCCGGGGCCCTGCCCATTTTTGGCAAGTGCTCTGTACTGAGCCACACCCCAGCCCTTTGTTGCCTACCTCCTTCCCTCTCAGATGCAGGAAATTGTGAGTCTAGGGCCTCTGTGCTCTCTGACGTGGCGACATCCCTGACCTTGAATCTCTCCCTTTACCCCCTCCTGCAAAAGACATCTAGGGTATAAATATTTGATGCATATGTAACCTATTTTTTTGTTTTATATTTCATTCTCTTTTTCTCAAATCTTTTTCTCCCTTCTTCAGTTTGCTTTCTTTCTTAGCTCAATTAAATGTTCGAGAATGTCTTTGATGGTCAAGAACCTGTAATCATAGCAAATTCAGTCTGCTTCCATTTTTAGCATAACTACAGGTATAAATTATTCCACTTGACTTTTATTAAGCATCGTATGAAGAGGACAAGAACAAAAGCTACTTGACATAGTTCAAACAGAAAGGAAATGGTTTGGGGTGCTAGATTACAAATTCTTGAAAGGGTTGGAAGGACAAAGGGAGAAATAAAAAGATGTTTCCAGAGGCAGAGATTGAAGAATGTCTCTGACTGTAGGAGTAAGTCCTGTTTGGAGCCTGCCATCTTCTACCCCACTGCCATGTAGCTGCTACAAGACCCCTTGATTATCTGTGAATACCCCACTGGAGGAACTCTGTAGCAGCATGGTCAAGAGAAGAATGGGTTCTTTTCTCCCACACTTTTTTTTTAAATCTGTTGTGGCTGCCATTGGCTACCTCATTAGAATACAGTTTGGAAAATGTAGTTTTAGCTTTCTATTTGTACTGTTTGGGGAAGCATGTAGAGCAGAGCAATAGTGGCTGAATGCCAGCAGCCACAGCACCCCACCCCCACACGTTTATATCGATATAAGCAAATATGTAGCTGTAGCTGTGTTAGAATGTTAGTGAAAGTCCAGCAACTTGGAGTTATTTAATGTAAGGTCCTAAAACTTCTGCAGTAAATTAAGAATGGTTTTGTATGGTTCATGAAAAGTATTGTGGAAGTCTTGATAGGGCTTCACTTTGTTTTAAAGTGTAGTTTAGGTCTGTTTTTTCATATCTTTCCTTCTCTTATTGAATACAGAAAGTTTGACTTCATCTAGGAAATTGTACTAGCAGCACTTATTGATAATGTGTTACGTATTGGCAAGGACAGTCAAGAATTAGATTCCCCTCTTCCTCCACCCTTCACTTCCTCTCACCTCTGTCTTCTCCCTGTCGTCCTCTCCTTGTTTTGAGATGAGGTCTCATTGGTCTCAAACTTTTGAGGTCCTAGGTTCAAGTAGTTATCAAAAGAAGGGGGTTTGGGGTGTGTGTGTGTGTGTGTGTGTGAGAGAGAGAGAGAGAGAGAGAGAGAGAGAGAGAGAGAGAGAGAGAGAGAGAGAATACGAGAGAGAAAATATGAGAGAGAGAATATGAGAGAATGAGAATATCTGTGTAGACGTGCCTCTGGAACTGGATATGTAGACGACCAGCCTAGCCTCATTTTTTTTTTCTTGTGTGAGCCTGAGTGTGGGTGCATGTGTGCTACAATATACACGTGAAGGTCAGAAGGCAACTCTCAGGACCTGGTTCTCACCAACCACCATCAGAGACAGATTAAACTCAGGTTGCCAAGTTTATGTGGCAAGCTTCTTTAGCTGCTGTGTAATCTTTTTGGCCCAAGAAAATCTGATTCTGTGACAGGAAGGTTTGAAAGTTCTGGGACTAAAGGGCAGCAGTTGCCTTTGGCTCCTTTTCAGTAGCAATATTTAAAATGGGCTAACTGGACAGGGAAGCCCAAGAGTAATAGGTTCTTGCATCCAGTTTTGCTTTGAAATTGCAGTTCTGAGAGAATGCCAGTGGATAGCAGTAGATTTGTGTAGTGAAGGGTGAGCAGCCAGCCACTAGATGTCGCTAAGGCTCTAGCACGCCTTGTATTAAACTGCATACCTTATTTTTGTCTTAGCGTCTCCAGCTTTACATAAGTGCAGTATCTTCATATCTTTACCTAGTTAGGTTCTACACTTTATGAGACAGAAATAATGCATAAAATTAGGAACTACCCCAACCCTCAGGAAGCAGAGGCTGGTAGATTTCTTTGAGTTCAAGGCCAGCTTGGTCTGCATAGTTCCAGGACAGCCAGAGCTACAGAATGAAACCCTGTCTCAAAGACAGACATAAAACTCCTTAACGAATGGTGATATTGCAGTTAATTTTTGTTTTTACTTGGGCATACAACTAGACTTGAATACGAGCTGAAGTAGTGGGCTTATGAAGGCTTAGCTTTTAAATGTGACAGTAATAAACAGCATGTTGATATGCTTACGCATGAGAGTTACCCGGGGTTTGTATTGTATACCTCACATTTGAACTTTTGAACATACCATTCTTAAATGTAAGGACTGGAAAAATCATTATTTAGACTCTTACCTGTGCTGAATACACAGATAAATTTTGTATGAAGCATATGTGTGAATGGCTACAGTAAGAGATTGGAAGTCAACATAGGTATATGAAACTGCAGCCTAGAAGATAGAAGTAGGACATCTGAAACAGAAAAGGCAGGTTTATGTAAAGAGATTAGAAAACAAAGGGTATCTGCCATTAGCACCTTTTCCCTCAAAATCATCTAAGACATAAACGAGGTGCATAAAGGAGTTGTTGAGGGCCAAGTGTTGGTAATACAGAAGGGAATAGAATATGTATAAATGTGATTTTGAGGAAAATCTAAAAAATAAAAAATACATGGGATTGAAAGGTTCCTAAGTAAGTTATTTACTTGCTATGTAAGAACAGTTGGCTTGACATTTATAGATTTAACATTTCGGCTATTTTTACTTCACAAATAACCATAGAGATTCAAAATGAGCCAAAGTGAGGTTTTGCCATTCAGAATAAGTCTGATAGCTAAAATTGCCCTTGCCAGCTGCCCAACCTCCCATAATAGGAAGCCTGTGATTTCCTTGATTTATCGTTTTTGACATGATATGATGAATAAATTCTTTTCTGTAAAGATAGCATTTTGAGGAATGTGGGCTAAATCAAGATAGGTTTTGAGAAAATGATCTTCAGTGACAGGACCAGAGGTATAACCAAGTGCCTCCAAATTTAATCCTTAGCCCAAGAGGGGAAATTTAATGACAGTCTTTTTAGAAAGTACTTTGATACCTAAAAATATGTGATCTCTTCGACATGAATGGAATTTGCCTTTTGTTGGTAGGAAATAGGGACTCACTGTAGGCTGGCCTTGAACTTTATACAGTCTTCCTGCCTCAGACTCTTGGGTACTGTGATTAAAGGCATAATCTCTCACATCCAGCCAGATGTGAGGATTAGTGAACATATTTCTCTCCTTTACAGACTGATTCAAGGTCTTCTGAATTCATTTAGTTAGGAAAAACATGCTGGTGTTTGGGCAGCTATTAATGTCTAGTAAAGAGTCTTAGGAGTTTAAAATTCTACATGATTTTGAATAAATAGGAAATCAGAAAGGCCTTAGATTGTGGTGGTATTAAGAAGATTCTGTAAATATAGACAGAGAGCTGAAGAGTCCATAGAAGGAGACTAACTAGAAATGTATTATACATGACTGAAAGTCACTGCAAGCCTTGAGAGCTGAGCTGTCTCGGTATTTTTATCCAGTGTGTGGGGTGTTGTACATGCATCACAGCTATAATAGAGCTGTCACATGGGACATTCGAGAAGGAAGACAGAGGCGCTTAGAAGGTTCCTCTGCTTGGTCTTAGAGGCTGGATTACTTGGCAGTCAACAACAAAAGTCAGAATCCAGATATTAAAAGGTGAATTATTTTCAAATCTGAGTTTTAATAGAAATAATTTACTTGAAATTATTTCAGGAAATGGAAGATAAAGTAACTAGTCCAGAGAAAGCTGAAGAAGCAAAATTAAAAGCAAGGTACCCACACTTGGGACAAAAGCCTGGCGGGTCCGATTTCTTAAGGAAGCGATTGCAGAAAGGGGTAAGTTGTTGAGTAATGTCTTCCCTCATGGGGAGATGAGCTCAATGTGCTGACAGGCTGTGAGGTGAATGTCTGCATTTTTATCTCTGTGTTTCAGGTGTGTGTGTCTGTCTTTGTCAATATTTTACATACCTCATACCATGAATATGTATGAAAAGAATCAATTATAATGTTTTAAATTACAAATATTTCGAGTATGTAGCATAGTACAGATGATAATGTAAGAGAAGTCCTGTAACCACCACCTTCACTTACTATTGATATATTGTCACCTTTGTAAGGAACTAATTGTAGGCATAATTCAAACTGCCCTGTATTTTCTCTATGACCCTTCTCCCTCTTCTCTTCAGAAAGAACCGATGTCTAGAAACTGGCGTTTTTACCCTAACACCCTTACTAAAGCTTACCTATTAGAAAGCAAGCCCCACATAACATCCAGAGGCTTACAATCCTTTATAAAATCATCTAATTTGCTTCATAGTTTCTTTAATCCAATTTGCACATTATAATCTTAGTAGTTCAAATTAATGAAAACATTTATCTCTTAGCATTGAAACCGTAGTGCTACTCGTTTGTTTCTAATTCCCCTCAACTCCTTCCTTCTGCTTGAAAAAAATTAGAAAATTAGGATTAAAGCACATTTGAATTCTTTATTATATGAGGATCAGACAATGAATGAGGAAGTATATGTGGAAGACAATTACTTATTGTAGAAGATGCTAGATTTTTATATTTCTTTTTAAGTAAATACCTTAAGTGTATTGGTATCCACTGCTTATATATAAAAAACAAGTCTGTGGGTGTGCACCATAGTTATATATGAACTATTTTCTCAACTCTGAACTCCAAAAGTGATTTTTAACAAATGATTTTTAAAGATACCAACAAATAACATGTTTTTAAACTTGTGAAATGAAAGGATTCACATCTTTCAAATAATATATAGACAATTATGTTAAATATAGAAAAATGTAAATTTTCCGTACCATAAAACAGAATCTAGTAGGGAAATTATTCCAAATATCGGGACCTTAAAAAACATTAACAGACTCTAAGTAAAGGAATTTAACAGAGGAAATAATGACTGTTTACATGCATGATAGAAATCGTACTAACTTTAGCCAAAGTGGGAAAATACTTAGAATAATTCCTGCTGCTGAGTTTGAAATTAAATGTAACTAATAGATAACTTGTTTTGTATAAACATTAGAGTATAATTCAGTATGAGAAAAATACCTTCAAATTTGAAGCTTTTTTCCCCTCTTAAAGCTTTTACTATAATTAGAAGCAGTCTTATTGTTCATCATCAGAGAAATACTAAGTTATAATCAGTCAACAAAATAGAATATGTGGTTATATAAAATCATGATTGTAAAAATCTGTACTGGGTAAATAGAAATCTCACAGTGAAAACTGCATTCATTAGGAATCTAGCTGTGGAAAATGTTCATGTACTGTCTGCTTTCAGTACTGCACAATTAGGTATATTTTCAGCTATGACATAATCATGTATAATCCTGGGCATCAAATTCATGTTTGCACTTGACTGGTTATTAGTATTAGTTAAGAGATGGTTTCTCCACAGCAGAATTAATATATCTTTTTTTTTCTTTTTTTATTGAGCTATATATTTTTCTCTGATTCCCCTCCCTTCCTCCCTCCTCCCCTTCTACCCTGTTCCATGATCCCCACGCTCTAGATTTACTCAGGAGATCTTGCCTTTTTCTACTTCCCATGTAGATTAGATTCATGTATGTCTCTCTTAATGAATTAATGTATCTTAAAGTTGGTATTGTAGATGTAACCAGTTGGAAATGAAGTAAATGCCACTTGAATCAAATAATTCTATATAATTTGAAATGTGAATGTTTAAGTCTGTATTTTTTCAGACTGTCAATGAAGTAAGCTTTTTTGTTGTTGCTGTTGTTTTAGAATTTTTTTTAAAGTCTGAGTCACAGAGTTCTAGATTTCAATTTTCTTCTGCCATGATAAGTAACAAGCTAAGAGACTTTGTTTCTTTATTATTTGAGAGGGTTAAATTGCATTTAATTACCATATCAGATTTTTTTCTGTATTATTATACAGATCTATTTCTGTATTATTGGTGGTATTATGAAGTTAGTGTTATATAATATTCCCATTGCACTTTTTGATGAATTATAGCCCATCAGAGTGGGTAAGGATTTGAACAGTCTAGCGCATGATTTTCTGTATTTGTAAGGTTTGTAAAGTACCAAGACTGAGGAGGACCCAGTTCTAATAAACATGACTTGAAAGTTTGTCATGTTAGGTAATCACATACATAGTGTCAGTGCTGCTCAGTTTTAGTGGGAAATTAGGCATGGTGGAATGTATGTGATGTCAGTACTTGAGAGTTCAGGCATCCTGAGCTACAAGAGGCATTTTCTCGAATGAATGAATGAATGAATGAATGAATGAATGAATGAATGAATGAATGAATATGAAGAGAGGCTTTTGTAAGATTGCCTTCCATATGATCTAAAGTATATTTTATTTGGTTTTAAGGAGTTTGTATTACTTGAGATAGGGTTTTAGTATAGCTCACACTAACCTGGAGCTTACTAAGTAGCTCAAGCTGACTTCAGACTTGCTCTCATATTCCTGCTACACAGACTCCAAATTGAGAATTGTGTATTCTCTTCAGCAGAGCATCCCAATATGCAATTAAATGAGATCCTTAAAAGGATAAATGATTAATATTTTTAGTATAAAACAGTTCTAGTTAGAAACTGAGTTCATTAAATTGGAGGAAATTTTATGGTGCTTAGGCATGCAAGATGAGAGAGGATAAAGAATCTTGCTGCCGAGCCTGTCAACCTTAGTTCAGTCCCCATGACTCACAAGGTGGAATGAGAGAACCAACTGTGAAAATTGCCCTCTGACCTCCACACAGACTCTCTTGACACACATACCCAGTAAATAAGTAAATATAGTTATTTATTTATTTTAGTTTGTAGTGTTCAGTTTCTTACTTTGTAATTAAGTAACACACATAAGAAATTTACCAGACTGCTTTGTTGTCCATATGTCAGCAGTCTCCATTTTCCTTAAGACAGGGTCTCGCACAGTTGAAGCAAGCTTTGAGCATCTGTCTTCCTGCCTTCACATCCCGAATGCAGAGATTCCAGGTGTGCCACACATTCTTAGCTAGAAGCAGCTTCTTGATTTAGGGGCATTAGAATTCTACACTCATTTTAAAGCATCATACAAAAATGATACTGCAGCAACCTCAGACATACCTTGACTGCATCTCACTGATAACTGCTCCATATAAAACTTGTACAGTGCTATCCAAAAAGTAGTTTCTATTCATAGATCCATTGGCCATAGCACAGATCTGGCTTACCAAAAAGGGGGAGCCAGCTAATAAGACCTGCTTCCTAGGCCATTCAGTAGCCTTATGCTAACTGTGAGTCTCAGCTACTTCATTTTAGGGACTCTAAAGTCTGAGAAATTTTTTTCTGCTCATTATTTATCCAGGCCATCATATCATCATTTTATTATTTCATTTTGCCAAACCCAGACTTTAATGACCAAACCTTATTTTTGATTGTAAAAGTTGTTATGATGGTTGATTTTAATTAACCATTTATCTCTCACTAGCTCTTGAACATTAGTTTATGTATAGCAGACATTCAGTAGAAATGGATATAAGCCAGACCTCAAGCAAATTCCCCTGGTTGTCCTTAAGCTATCGTTACAGTTTTATCATGGTGTTAGAGGCCTATGGTTTCTTCATTTTTCCATCCAAAATCAGTCCAATGGTATGAAGAACTTTTAAACTCTAATCTAATTTTTTGTTTTTTGTTTGCAGCAAAAGTATTTTGATTCTGGGGATTACAACATGGCGAAAGCAAAGATGAAGAACAAGCAGCTTCCTGCTGCAGCCCCGGATAAGACAGAGGTCACTGGTGACCACATTCCCACTCCACAGGACCTTCCTCAGCGGAAACCATCCCTGGTTGCTAGCAAGCTGGCTGGCTGATTAAAAGAGCTGAACTGCATGAGTCTTCTAATGTCCTTTATTTCTCCTTACTATGTTCCTTCCCCACTTTCTGTTTCCTTTCACTCACTCTGTCATTGAGACTGACAGCTTTGCAGATAGTGGTAGTGTGTGCTGCTGTCGTAAGGGAGCATACATATGTAGAGGTTTTGGTTAGTTTACAGTGCACTGATGCAAAGGACATGTAACAGCAACTTAAGTAATTGACGTTATAATAATTGTACATATTACCTAGCTGGTGTAGGGCTGGCTCCAACAAGTAGCAAGCAAGTTTTACAGCTTTAATGTTCTAGCTTTCCTTACTTCCTCGTAATTACAGCTTTGTATGTTACTCTTATTTAATAGAACCTCTGTTGTATTGATTTCTTCTGTATTTTCCTTTTGAATTTTGTAAGACAGAAGTTTAAGACCACAAGTTGGAAGACAAGTCACATAATTCAAACACAAGTAAATGGGCTGCAAAAGATTTGAATAACTGCTTGGACTTGACGGCCTTAAACCTGCTGTTTCAGCTTTAACAAGAGCATCTTACCTGGGCGATATTTGCCCGTTGTGGTGAGACTTGTGTGACTCCAGTGCTTACCAGCTGTCATTGAAGCTAGTGCTCTTCCTCGGTTCTGCAGTCTTGAGACAGCTTTCTTTGTTGAAGACGTGAATGGGTGTGCATGTGCACTGACTATTGCATTCACTTTTGTGCCATTTTTGTAAATACAATAGTTTTGCACAACCTTTTACAAATGTCTGTATTAATTTCACCATATTAGAAAGTAGATAATGTGCCAACCAGAAGCACAAGACTTCCTACACAAATCTGCCCACCATTACTGCTTTTGTATAAGAATAGTTTACAATCTTGAGCTTATTAGAATACCAAACTAAAATCTACTCACCCTGATACAGAATTAAGCATTTTTATTTGTTACTAATATTCATGACTTTCAGTGGCCTTGTACAAATATGATATGTTGCTTAGGCATATCTTTTGTTCTATGCAGAACATTTCATTTTGACTCTTACAAAAAATTACAATTCATATAATTTATATAAACTTTCTTAATGTAGAAACTTTTACTTCCACACTCAACTTTGGGGGATACTAAAGTTAAAGGCTTGCATTCTCTGCCTTCCGTGTTCTTCTCAAACCCCATCTTCTCTCTTTTGCGTCTGTGACTTGTGTTGGGCCGTTCCATTTATATGAGAACATACATATCTATATCTTGTCTTTACTTTTTAAACTTGCTTAAATAAAAGGACTTTTGTGAGGGTTTTTTTTGTTATGCTGAGGATCAAACCACTGTCTTACATGTGCTTAGCAAGCACTGTACTATGGAACTACACTCTTATCCCTAAGGGAACTTTATAATGAAGCAAGTAGTTGAAAAGATTGGCCTAGGAAACTGTCAGGATTAGCTGAATTCTGGTAAATAATTTTAAGTAATTAGAAGGAACTAGGAGAATTTGGGCTTATAACAATTATAGTGATTTATGTAGTAGGTAAAACATTAAAATTAGGTTTCTCTTATACATGTCATTTTAATAAAATATCACTTTACTTTTACTTGTGGTTTATGTGTTAGTGAAAACATTAGCACACTTTCTTGGGACACATTTACTGTTCTCTTACAGCTCTTCTTCCCCCGGGGTGTTGGGGAGGCATATTGAGCCGCAGCAGCCTGAGCTATTGGGCTGTGATGAGACCTACCCCACTATGGGAATCATTTTGTATTGTGGCTACATTTATGTACCTGCTTTCCTGTGGTTCCACACTAGTGATTAGTCCTCCACTCAATCTGAAGGGCAAAAAAGCAACACACTCCACATTGGTAATTTTACAGCTCAGTTTTATGTAAATGCATTTGTAATGAGCAAATGGACTATTCTGTAATATGTGTAATTCACCATAGGATTGGTATCTAGTTTCCCCCCATTGATATTTGCAAGCCCACACCGTTAAGTTCATTAGATGGATCTGAAATCAGAGTGGCCATACTCTTCCTGACTACCAGACTCAGTTTATGACAAGTGAGTAACGCCTGCGTGAGTTTTGATTTGTATAATAGGACACTGATCTTTAACCTACCTCAAGACTTGAGGATCTGTGAAATACTAAGTGCCCCAAATAAAATATCACTATCAAAAGTAAGTTTCCTCACTGAACCAACCTGCCTTCTATAAAGTAGCAGTGCTTAAGTAAAATCTCAGGATTTTCCAGAAGGAAAGACCTGTTAAGGATGTGTACGTATAGCTGCATAGCTTCCATTATTGGTGCTTGAGAGAAGTTTTACATTTTCCTGTCTTTTGTTCTGCTTCAAAACTCAGTTTATTGTAGACATGTTTGCAGGATTTTGGGTCATCATTTAGTGAAGACTTTGGTTAAATGAGCTTAATTGTCCATTTGTATGTCAAAGTTGTGTCTAAGGAATGACTAGTTTTAATGTTAGAGTAAAACTGAAGTTGATAAAAACACTAAAGGCAAACTGGCTAAAGTCTATTTTGTTCAGTAACTCCTATGAGAAATACCTTGAAGGCTACATCTGACTAACAGCTGCAGCGCGTGTCTAGTTGGAATAGCATTGGGTTATATTGAGGGGGCATTTTGTAATCTACAAGTTGTTAGATAATTTTGTACTGCTGACCTGGAAACATGTCCAGACTGTTTAAAGCAGTCATGGCAAGGCCTCCTCTTGTTATTATTCCACAGTTAGAATTAGTTGCTCTTTTTACTTGATGTGCCCAAAGTATACCTCTGAGTATTTATTGGAAGTCATTAGTAAGTAAGACCTGTTTTTTGGGTTTTTAATCTTGTTTTGTTTTTGGTTTTGAGACATGGTTTCTCTGTAGCTTTAGAGCCTGTCCTGGAACTAGCTCTTGTAGACCAGGCTGGCCTCAAACTCAGAGATCCACCTGCCTCTATCTCCCAAGTGCTGGGATTAAAGGCGTGCGCCACCACCGCCCAGTAAGACTTGTATTCTTAATATGTCACTGTCTTAACAAAGCTGAACTATCAACCCAAACTCTGCTCTAAACTTAGTATTTGGTGATCAAACACAGGTATCTTACAGGTATCTTGTGGGAAGAGCAGTCCTGACCAAGGCTTTGTCAAACTCACTACGTACATTGTAACCCATTTCTGTCACCATGTTCATCCTTGAAGCCCACTGTAAGCACTTAACATTTTCTTTTTTTCTTTTTGTTTTTGTTTTTTGTTGTTGTTTTGTTTTGTTTTTCAAGACAGGGCTTCTCTGTAGCTTTGGAGCCTGTCCTGGAACTAGCTCTTGTAGACCAGGCTGGCCTCGAACTCCCAGAGATCCGCCTGCCTCTGCCTCCCGAGCGCGTGCGCCGCCGCCACCACTCGGCACACTTAACATCTTCTAAAGCGCTATCTTGATCCCCCGTGGCATGTACTGCCAGTCTTACCCGGGTCTCTTTCTCCAACTTTTCATACAACTTTTAGAAATTAGGATCAAAGAAACCTATAGTATTTCATGAATAGATGACAACAGGATACTCTTACTAGTTCCAACTTTCTAAGTAGGTAGACCCATAGGTTTCAATTCTGTAAATCACTGGTGGTGGTGACACCCATCCGTGTATGTTTCTGTGGTATTTATCAACTAAATAGCAGTAGAAATTAACTCCTTTATGCCCTCAAATCTGTTACTGCATCTCTGCCATTTGATATGCAATAGGACACTGCCTGTATGCAAAGGGCCAACACAATTGCCTTTTCTTGTTAAGGATGTTTGTAGAGTTGGTGGCTAATGCTGGTTTGTCAAATAGCCCTTTTAAACTTATACTTGTAAAATACACCCAAAATAAATGGATCTACCTAATTTTTATTGATTTTAATATGCAGTTTTGTCTTATTTGTTAATGTTTTCTGAAGTTAAGCCACTATGAAGAAATTGTGATCTTAGATCTTAATTTAAATGTGTTAATGAAACCCTGCTGTTCTCATCTTGTGTATAGAATATTAGATACAGAAAGATGGAAGAGACAGGTAGAAATAGTTTCAGGAAGTCTACAGGGCTGAGGATATAGCTTAGTTGGTAGATGCTTGTCTAACATACACAGGATCTTTTTTTTTTTTTTTAAGACAGAGTTTCTCTGTGGTTTTGGAGCCTGTCCTGGAACTAGCTCTTGTAGACCAGGCTGGTCTCGAACTCACAGAGATCCGCCTGCCTCTGCCTCCCGAGTGCTGGGATTAAAGGTGTGCGCCACCACTGCCCGGCCATACACAGAATCTTGGGTTCAGTTCCTATCACTATAGGCTGGGTCTGGGTGCACATGTCTGTAACCTCATAGGGAGGCAGAAAGGAGGATGAGGAGTTCAAGATCATCCTTGAACACAGCTTCATAAGACCATCTCAGTAAAGTTCTAAAACGTCTAGTGCAAGGAGTTCTTCAGTGTAGAGTTAGAGTGGTACAGCAGGGACGAGTGTTCAGGTGGTTGTAGGGAGCAGTTGCTGTGAGGATGGGTGGGAGCAATGAAGAAAAATGCATTTTTTGGGTGAAGGAAACTTCATTCTTACAAAGAGAAGTGGAGAAAGGTGAGCTTTTGTAAGGAAGATTGAAAACAACAGCTTTTTCTTTCTCCTTAAATTTGGTCCTCTCTACAGTCATACTTTCTAAATACCTCCATGACTTCACTCAGGCATTCAAAGGCTCCGAAGTTATCTTTTTTTTTTTTTTTTCCTCCTTAGGGGAAGTAGTGACCAACACTCCCAGACATTTATTGTACCATTCTCAAAGCCACTAATGCTTTTTATTATATTTTTTTAAGGCAGGGTCTCTAGCGTAGGCTGACTTCAGACTTGACCTGTATGTAGACTAGGCTTCTTTCTGACTCAGGGCAACCCTCCTGCTTAGCCTCTGAGTGTTGGGATTACATTCTCATAAAGCCCAGGCTTCACTGAAATTGGTCTACACTCACATGACGGGGACATGTATTCATTGCTTCTAGCTTGTGGTTAAAACTTTGCAAGCATTCTCTCTCTGATCGAAACTGCCCACTGCTCCATTACCTCATTAGTTACTAAATCAGGCTGTGTAGAACATGGTGAGTTTTCCTTTAGCATCTGTAAGTGCTAGCATTTCTAGCCACTTTGTGTGTAGGTATTGGCTGTCGAATTACTGCACAGTCACAACAGAGCTTCCGTGTTTAGTTGTCCACCGTTCATATTTTCCTCAATTCTAAGCCACCTTAACATGGGAAACAGTAAGCACTATGACTTCTTGCTAAAAGATGATTTTTTAAAAAATCTATTAGTGCTATGGATTATAAGACTACTACTGATTGAGACATCTGACTTGAATGTACTGTACTCTACTGCTTGAGTTGCTAGCCATGCACATTTAAGAGGATCGTGTGTAATAGTGCTTCCATCATTTGTAGTCTAGTATTTTATATGAAAGCTAGTGAGTGAAGTTACTTGGCTTAGTTGTAAAGCACTTGACTAGCATTTTTTGAGGCCCTGGATTCAAGTCCCACAATTCTAAAAAGAAAAGGAAAAAAAATCAATGTAAACTTTGAAGAGCTACTTTTTTTCTCCCAAGATGTGGCTGTCCTGGAACTCAGTATGTAGACCAGCTAGCTGGCCTTGAACTCATTGAGGTCCTCCTACCTCTGCCTCCTGAGTGCTGGCATTAAAGGTGTGCACCACTACTTTCTGGCTGAAGAGCTACCTTTTACAATGTGTTCGACACATTGTTACATGTAAATCTGTTCTTTTAAGATGTTGTTGATCCACAGTATGTTTCGTTCCCATGGAGAGATGTTCTGCAAGTGTCTGAAGCAAAAAGAGGGAAAGATTTAGTGTGAAAACAACTATGTGCAGTGTAGTGGACAGTGCAAAGAGAGGGACCTGAGGAAGGGGCTGTTGATTTGGGAGTCTGTGTTTTCATTGGAGAGCATCATTCCCATCGAGGAGGAGATACCTGCCTATGGCGGGGGAATGTAAGAAGAGTAACAAATTATTTGAGATAAATTAGCAATGAGGGACCTAGTCCTTTTGAGAGACTCTGACATAGAACAAGATTCCAGTTTAGAGGAATTGTTTTTGCTGTTATATGTTTGGAAAGTTTTGAGTAGAGTCATTGTGTTAGTGATCTCTGTACCAGGTTTTTTCTATTTATGTATGTATGTATGTATGTATGTATGTATGTATGTATGTATGTATGTATGTATGTATGTATTATGCCTGCCCACCAGGAGAGGGCACCAGATCTCAGTGGTTGTGAGCCACCCATGTGGTTGCTGGGAATTGAACTCAGGACCTCTGAAAGAGCAGCCAGTGCTCTTAACCTCTGAGCCATCTCTCCAGCCCCAGGTTTTTTCTTTTGAGCCACCAACCAGATCCCAAATCATGACACAGAGTCGTATTAGTTTTGAATGCCTGGCCTAGCCTAGGCACATTTCTGGCTCGTTCTTTTAACTAAAATTAACCTGTTTCTCTTGATCTACCGTTTGCCTCAGGGCTTGTTACCTTGCTTGCCTTTGTGTATCTTACTTTCACTGCTTCTCTGTCTGGCTTCTTGCCCCAGGCACGTCCCTCTTCT